CAGCTCTATTTACTGGTTTTGTAATTTGGGGTGAGTTCCATAGACCCACCCACCCTGATCTATAGCAATGGGAGAAATAACAAAATGATTTGTTTTAAGCCAGAGTTTTAGGGTGGTTTGGCGCACAGCAATAAGTAACAAACACTCCTTTAACGATGCCTTTGAAGAGGCATTTATCTAGTTTTGCTTCCATTACTGCAAAAGCCACCTCATCAGGATTACCTCCTTCATGCTTTTCTGGAAAACCTCCATTCTCAGGCTGAATTAGGTGCTCTTCCTTTTTGTGCGCCTTTATCATACCACTAGATTATCAGTTCCCCTATATAGTTATTACCATTCTAGAGATTATCAGAGAGAAGTTAATTCATCAAAGACAATTTCCTTTGGGTTTTTTTATTGACTGATTTTAGAGAAAGGAAGGGAGAGAGAAAGAGAAAAACACTGATTTGTCATTCCACTCATGTATGCATTCATTGGTTGATTCTTGTATGTGCGCTGACCAGGAATCAAACTGGCAACCTTGGCATATTGGGTCGACGCTCTAACCAACAGAGTTACCCTGCCTGGGCCTATGCTCATTACCAGCGTAAGGCCTAGTTCATGCTCAATTCATTAAATAAGAGCATGTGAATACTTACTGTCTATTAAGGAATTCAAAGAAGAAATACAAAAATAATCCAAATTTCTTAACTTCTGAGAACAAATCTAAATTTTCCTAGATTTGGTCTCTGCCACATCTTTACCAACTAATTATGTGTTCCGTGGTGTCTGGTACCTAGTAAGGACCCAATCGTTTGTGGACTTGTCTTTCCCCTTTATTATTTAAATGATCTCCATCTTGAGTTGTATTCAGATAGGCTTTGCAGTGTCACTCAGTGACTAAAAACAGGTTTGGGGACCCAGAGCTGAGAACTACTAGTTTGAATGACCATGCATTTAAAACTGAGAGAGTCTGTCAAATACTTAAAATTTAATTTCACTTGGATGAAACATAATCCTTAACCCTTTATATGTTCACTTTGAAACGAAGACAGTGATATGAGAATAAGAAATAAAACCTCTTATCACAGTTTCAAGAAATGTGTGAAATATAAATACAGTAAAACTGTAAATAGGTATCCAACCAAACTTTTATTGGGGTTTTATTGCAATCTACTTTCATCAATAAGGGGAAAGTAACATAAGAACTCCGACCAGATTTTATTCAACAAAGCAGTTTTTCATGAATGCTTAAGGTCAGTATATAGTCAGCTCAGCTTCCAGTATCAACTTGAGTACCTCTTGATAGAAATTTAGGCCAGAATGACAACAGTAAGCCATCACAAGATCCTAAATCATCTAAGATTAAACCATATTTTACATATAATTTTGGGGACAGTATACTAATACTCTGTAATAAATAAGGATTTAAAAATGTATCACTTAGCCCTTGTTGAACTAAATTCAATTATTAGCATATTCTTTAAGTACTCCAGTTAATAAAGGTTTGATTGTACTTCAAGAACTCTGACTTTTCCAAAGATAAAAAAATTAGTCATTTGTTATGACAAAAATTAAGCTTAAAAGCACATTCACACTTGTCCTTAAAAGCATATATGAGATAACTTCTCTTGCCTGGAGACATGGTTCATATGGCAAAAAGTCATATGCAAAGAACAGCTAGAGGGCAATCCTCCCATCTCCACATCCTCCAAAAAGCCACACTCGGCCTCAGTGTAAAAGTTATATTTTATTGCCATGCTACAAAATGTATGAAGTTGGCACTGATAGGGAGAAACAGAGAATAAGGGTGGGGAGGGAGAGAGGGCAAAAGATGTTGTTACATATACAAGGTTTTAATCAACAGTGGTAAATTTTGCCAATATTAAAAATGCAAACCAAATTTAAAATGCTGATATGAAACAGCATTAAAATACAATGTATGCATAGTACAGTATCACTTATGTCTTTTATTAGAGAAATGTGGAATGTTTATAAAAGAAATTAACCATAGGGGGTAAAATTCATATTTCATATACAATTTGGCAATGGTAGTCCCACTGTTAGACAATTTTTTTATAAAAGAAAAAAATTAAAAATCTAATAAGCTACCTTTATACAAAGTTGCTATATTTATGCCTTTATGTAGGAAAAAAACATTTATAATGCAAATCAGGACATACAATAATCTTACAGTATTATACAATGTAATGAAAATAAAAACATAACACAAAATTTGTCCTTTATAAAATGTATATTTTGCATTTACTAATGCAAATGTGGCACACCGGTGACTACTGTACTATTAATACCAGTCCATCACAGAATTGCAATCATAATGATGCTACAAAAGAACTGTGTTATAACCCCCAAAAATGGGGAAGTAGGAATGGGGAATAGGGATGTAAAGAATAGTAAAGATAGATATGGTGCTGGTTTGGGCAGAGTATTTGTGGTATGTCATAAAATAGTTGTTAATTTTTCAAGCCAAAAACATTTTCTATACATTCTGGAATTTCGTACCAATGCCTTTATTCAAATTTGGTAAACATCAGGGAAAAGGTAATTAGTACCATATACCTCACATATCAGAAATATGAATGAGATGCCAATATATCAGTTACTTCTGAATGATGTCTCTGATGGTATGTCTATTTCAAGGATATATATATATGTATACATATATATATGGATATATGGATATATACATATATATTTACACATACACACATACTACACATTGCACAAAACACTTGGGCATTATGGGTTAGGAACAGCACGGGAGAAGTGGGAAGTACTTTTTAGCTTGTTAAAACTTTTACCTTGAGGCAAAAATATGGTGGCACATTATTGAGAAATTATGAAAACATAAGGCCCCTGTCCCATTTTTAATAGAACATTATTGAGGTACATTTTTATACGTTGTGCCACAGATTTCTTTGGGGGGGGGTTAATAAACACTAGCTTGACTTATAACATTGAACTGTGGGCGTCAACATCAATATCTATAAAAACAAAGATTGCTTGGCAAATTTTAGTTAAGTCCCAAATGTGATCTATTCTGGATATACTGGGAGGTGAAAAGCTTTTTGCTGAGTCTTCAAGAGTAAAGTGCATATCTCATCACTCCACAGCAGCAGTAAATAAAAGGAACTATTTGCCAATCTTCCTGGAGGGAGAGAAGGCACCATATTTTCATTTTTAAAGGAAGAGGAAACTGGGAAATAAAACACATTAAGAAACATAGTCAATACCCATATCAGTTTCCAACCCTGGTCTGGGATAAAAGCTGTTATGATCTATATAGATAAAAGAGGATTCTATTTGGGAAAATAAATGAACAATGATTATATTTCCAAAACTGAAAAGTGGGATCACATGGTCTAGCAACAGAACAGAATATCTAAAATTAGGTCTGTCTCAGAAAATCTGAAACATATGGCCACAATTATATCCCAACAAAATATCTCACTCTAAAATGCACCTAGTAATAGGTACATTCTTCCAGGATAGAGCTTAATGCCCATTACTAGACTACTGCAAAAGACAAGGAGTGTTCTACATTACTTTTTATTAAATAGAAACACAGGTGATTTCCAGAGACATCTAGAAATTAACACCAGTTGTATGTGTACATCTTCCTAATACTCATAGTACCTTTAAAATCAAATTCTTAGCAGACAAATTGGTCCCATTTTCATTTTTAAAGCACACAGTATTTAAAGCATAAACTGTAATGATTACGTTGGAGTTACCTAAAAAATATAAAAACTAATTAGAATCTGGAAGGAAAAATGGAAAGGATGAGAAAAAGGAAATAAAGTATCTAACCTCCAAAATGAATAAATAGGTCAGCCCTTCCATTTGGAGGTTGATGTTCTGTCTCAACTGCTTATTTCAGAGAAAACCATGTGTACTAATTTCATCACAATTCTTATTCCACATTAAAAAATCACATAAATTTGGCACAATTAGCAATCTAGTCAGAAGAAAACATAAATGCAACAATATATTAAAAATGGAAACTGCACACCTATACCACTGTTCTCTTTTTAGAGAACAGTGAACACTTTAGTAAGCACCAAGTTCACAGAAAAAAAAAAAAGAAATTCTGCTATGCACATAAACCAATGGCACTGAAAATAATAGACACCTTTAATAATTTATTTTCTTTATAATGGTCCCATTCTATTATTTTGCTAATCCATTCACTGCCCTATAATTGGTTATTGAACAGGTTGGATGCTATATGACTAAGACTTTTTCATGCTGAATTAACCTTAGTTACATCTGGTAGATCCAGATCATAATCTCAAACTTCCTCATATTTAGAGAAAACGGTAAAATATTTTGCAAGGTTACCTAACCTTCTTTTCACTCTACCTTCTCTTGTCTTCTCTAGTGTTTGGGAAACTGGAACATTCTTGATTTTCCAAGAGTTGGACATACGACCTCTCATTATTTTAGAAAAGCTTTAATTCATTTAAAATCCTAAGTTATACATAATCTCATTGCTACAAGACTTCCACTGTACCTGCTATGCTGGCAATAATCTTAACATTCCATTGAAATCAGGGATAATCAAGCATCCAGCTATGAGTGAAAGGACAGCAGAGCTGAGGAGCGCTACAGTGGGCAAAGTACATTGCTGCCATGTGACTTGAGGGAATCCCTGTTAAAGTGCTGGGGAGAGTGCCCACAGAGAGAACACAGTACCTTTAGGGAACTTTGCATGTTAAAAGTAGCTTCCTTTTTTATCTCAGCTGCTAACGAGATCACCTATGGACACAAGTAAAATTTAAAACTGAGAGAATGTTTTTATCAACAACTTGAAAAGTAAACAGCATATAAATAAATACTGGACAAGGGCAACCCTGTTATAGAATAACAGTAAGTTCCAAATGAACCTTCAAAACCACAATTTGACAAAAAAGCAAACTAAATAACCATAAACACATAATCCAATTTAAAACTATATACAAACTCAAACATTTTAAATTGAAAAAGACATTAAGCAACAAAAGAAGACATCCCAAACACCAAAGGAAAAAAACTGAAGGTAAATGGCAATCTAACAGCACAAATACCTCCAGAAACAATTTACTGTTAATAATCCATAGGAGAGACACTTTCAAGAGATCATGGTTCAGATTTTCAAATGCTTTTTTGGGTAAAGTGACCTGAGACTGATTCTTGAGCCTATTGTAATTCTGATTAAGATAATCTGGGCATGCCCTTCCAATGACATCATGAGATGAATAAACAGAAAATCTTGTATCCTTTCCACCTTTCAACACACCAACAGCAAACCATATTCATGGACACAGGGCTCTTTCTAGTAAGCTGAAGGCAAAGGAGCTGACTGGTATATAAGGAGTGTGGTACTTCTATTTCCTTTACATATGGTTTGGCTCAAGTCAAAAAGCCTACAATTAATGAAATAAAAGATTTCTCATGTTACATGCTGGACATCACATACCATGAACAGTGAATCTACAAATATTACTTTCAAAGCCTAGAATTATCTGTTAGCAATGCACATTATCAAGAGGCTTTATAAAATGTTTGAAATGCCAACCATGACTTAGACATGAATGATATGCATAAGTCCAGTAAATTGATAAAAATCAACCAGCATGTCACTCACTTCAACTCTCACTTTAATAGGCACTGTGAAAATGGGAGTGCTGCTGTACAGTAATGAGTAGTATATAATGAAATTAGTGTTCTTTAATGAGTACCTGCTCTACATTAATTCCCTTTAGTTAAAGAAGCACATGAAATATTAAAAAAAATTTATCAGTCTATAAAAGGAGTTAGTGTTTAGAAATGAAAATGAAGCACTTGCATCTTCATTTTTTAAAAATTCACAAAGGTGCAAACAATGTAATGCTTTCCAGGCTCACATGGGCAGATCAGTACTATTATGTCTAGTTTTCCTAGATGTACCATCATCTCGTGGGAGTGCTTTCTGCAAATTTGACATAGCAGCAGTTTTTTCGATGTCTATCACAGCATACAGCTCTGTGCGCCTGGTAGGGGTCTGTGGAAGAGGAGTCGTAGGCGTTTTTGGAGTCTGAGGGTTGTCGGAGTCACTGCCACCTTCCAAGTCAACCTGTATGTAATTGAGCTGCCTGTGTTCTAAACTCGGGCGTCTGATATCAAAGTTAAAGACTGTCGGTATACAGTCTCGACGCCTTGAATATTCTATTTTGTGAGCACTTGCTGGCACTGTTACATTCTCTGTATTTACATAATTATGCATTGGATCTAGATTATTATGGTAGCCATTTAGAGATGGGGTCTTTGGTCCTAAATTGTCATCTTCATCCCTACTTAGCTTGCGGGCTTCCCAAACAGGAGGCAAAGATGGTAAATTTTCATAGTTTAATAATGCAGTTCTTCTCTGAGCTGAGTTGTTGATATTCTGGGTATCTGAGGTACTGGTGGATGTCAGACGACCTCTCCTGACCCCTGAGGCACTAGGGATAGATAACCCATTTATATTTTCATACACTAGTTTGTTAACAGAGGGTACATCTCTTCGTTCATCACTGTCATATCCAGTGTCCCATTCTGTGTTATTTGCACCACTTCCGCTGACTTGATCTCTTCCAATTTTCTCCAGTTTCTCTTTTTCCATTAACTGCTTTTGAACAGGAGTTGGTCCTAAGACAAATCTGACTACTTCGGGTTCAAGAAGAATCTGAGGGTCCCTGTCCTCCAGACCACTTTGTTCTTCTTTTGGAGTGTTGCTTTCAGCATTAGAAATCCTCGCCTCCAACGGGACATGCACACTTGTGCAATTTTTCCGTTCTTCTTGCACACCTGTAGTGTTGACATAGGTATGTACCTAAAACAAGGAGTGAGTCAGTAAATTGCTTAAAAAATAAAAAGTCTGACCATATCAGTTAATCTCATTAACTTTCTAAATATGCTCATGCTTTGCAGCTTTTGCACCTGTTTTTTTACTTATAAAAAAAGTAACTGCTCTAACATGCAACATTGTACTTGTTAGTAAAATATGAAAAGCATTCTGTAAAAAAAAAAAAAAACACACATCAGGAACAAATAGGGATTTTCATTTTGGTGTTGTTCTAGAAATTCTCAAGAGTACATTAAACAATGATTCAGAAATAAATAAGTATTAAAAAGGAAAAGACAAACTTACCATTATTTATAGATAATTTGACTATAATAAACCCTTCTAGATTTAATAAGAGTTCTATAAAGTGTCATCCCATGGACTAAGAGGTCCCAGTTCGATTCCCAGTCAGGGCACATGCCCAGGTTATGGGCTCGATGCCCAGTGGAGCATGTGCAGGAGGCAACCAATCGATGTTTCTCTCTCTCTCCCTTCCTCTCTCTCTAAAATAAATCAATAGAAATATATATATATATATATATACACATATATATATATATTATCCTCATCCGAGGACATTTTTGCATTTATCTTCAGAAAGAGTGGGAGGGAGAGAGGGAGGAAGAGCGAGAGAGAAACATCAATGTGAGAGAGTCACATCGAATGGCTGCCACCCACACGACTGTAACCAAGACTGAGGACAAACTGCAACTGAGGTATGTGTCCTTAGCGGGAACTAAACCCAGGACTCTCTGGTCCATGGGCCGACACTCTAACTGCTGAACCAAACCGGCCAGGGCTAAAAACATATTTTTTTAAAAATCAATAAATAAATAAAACAAAAAGCTCAATATTTTAGGAGCAATATAAAAAAATTTAAAGTCTATAAGAATCTGAAAAACTCAAAAATAAAATGCAAAATTGAGAGAAATGTAATTATAGTAAATAATGTAAAAACTCATGTACTGTGTGAAGAATACAAAGAAATGAACTTTAAAACAATAAAAACTTATTAATGATAAATGACCATGTGGTTTACAAAAGATAATTATATAACTAATTAATAAACAGACAATGTTTAACCAGATACTTCATTCCTCAAATGAAAAATAGTCAGGAATATTATATAGTTCTATAAAAACACCAAAACCAAAATCTACCTTCCTGCTAGTAGTCCACTAATTATAAAAACTTTAATATAAGCAGTAGCATAAATTTTGAATTAACTGGAAGTTATTATAAATGGGAACTGGCCATTAGTTATATCTGTCTTAATCTACAGATATACCTCTCTTGTGAACCCACAAACTACTGTAATGCTGTTTCCCTCTACATCTGTACATATTTCAGCAAATATATGCTATTTCCTCTGATTCTTCACTATAAAAGTTATATACAAACAGTGAAAGCTAAATTCAAACTGACTAAACCCTTCCACAAAAGCCATTATCCTGTTAGACAGTATAGCACATGCTTACTTGTTCCTCAGCCACAAGCAAAGGATGTGTAGATTCTTCACCTACTGAAGGCAAGCGTGCACTTCCCACAGAAGGATGTCTGCTTGAAGGATGGGATGAAGCATCTCCAAAAGAGGGATATCGGGGATATCCATTAGGTAAGTTCTGAGCAGCAAATCCTGGAGCTGAGTTTTTGTTTGTTTATTGGTTTAAGAAGAAAAGCAGGATACAGAGGTAGGGGAGAGAGAATAAAAATGAATGAGAATCCAATCTGCACTGGCAAGATTAAAGAAGGTGTTTCTGGCAAGACATAGCAGAACCCAGAGCACAGACAGCACCCCCTCCATGCTAACTTTCCATTCATAGTTTAGATAAAATGGAACAGTTAATGTTGTCACATTTAAAGTATTAAATATGTTTATAATTATAGTTAACAACTTTTTAAAACTGACAACCATTACTCCTATGTAGCCAAAGGTGATTTCTAACATTTATAGGTTAAATATCCATAGTCTATAGTTTATAAATGGCTATTAATCAACATATAAGAAGAAAAATGGGTACTTACTTGTAGGTGTTCGAGGTGTTCTGGGGACTTCCAATTCTGTCTGATGATTACTCCTTTCAACAACTGGCTCTTCCACCACATTTATACTGTTATTTTGCATAATCTCTTGCAACATGTTAAATAATTCTTCTGCACGGGCACACTTAAAGGCAAAGATTCCTACAAATATAAACCAGAAGAAAACAACAGTTACCACATCTTTTAAAAAGATACAGGAGCACCTGTCAAAGAATAAAATTGTAAAATAAGGATTCTGTGTACCAATAGCAAGAAGAGCCTTTTAAATAAATGTCTGATAAATTAATGATATTTCCTGTTTCAAAACATAAACCCAAAAGAAAGTTCACAGAATAATTTTCATTTCTCTAAGGGACAAGGCCTAGAATAAGGCAGACAAAAACAAGATTTGCATACTTCCTTCAGTTTACTTTATAATAGCAGGGGGAGCTCAACTCATCATTACCAAGGTGATCCTTTACCATTTGACAGGCCCCGACTCTGTTATCATGTTTAATTATTTTAACAGTTCTGTAAGGCAAAGATTATCATTCACCTCTGACAGAGGAAAAAAATCTAACATTTGACATAGACCTTTCAAATTGTAGGTTCTTTGCCCAATAAGTTATAACAGAAAAAACACAGTTTATTAAGACTAATCATTTACTGCAATCTTAAAACTAATGAGTCGAAATTCTAGACATACACAATGTGCTTAATGAATGCTTGCTAAATGAATACATAGTTTACTATACCTCTTCTTAACGAGGCACTTATTTGGGTAATTTTTTTCTGTCAGGAGAAAGTAAAATATTAAACATTATATACAGAATAACTGAAAGAATAATATTTCAAATGTGACAAGGTTTGGAGAAAAAAATGAAAGGCTCTACCTACCTTGTCCAGTTTGACACCGTCGACCACTTTCAAAAGAAAAGAGATTCGAATCATAGCCATAGCGTCGCAGGCAGAGGTAGTGCCATTTTACCGAGTCACGTTTGCGAGTGTATAAAATCAGTTCTGTGTCTGTAAGTTCCATTATGCCAGAACCTAACTCATTCCCATCATCATCCACATTAATGACCTAAAAAAGAAAGTTTAATTAGTGCTAACCTAATGCTTCCACTTGACAGCCATACACGTATTTTACCAATTTGTCAGGAAGATACGCTGTTGATGATTGGTTCAGTTACTCCGTTGTTAGTTCATTTATCAACCAATGTGTGTGTAGGATTATGCAGCAGTATAATACCTGGTTCGTATCTGCAAGAAACTCACATTCCCACTGGGGAGATAAGTTCATGTTAAGATAAGGCCTTGTACTACTGAGTTCAGAAAATGGCCAGAGACTATGAAGATAGGATATTGTTTAGGGAGAACTTACTATACCCCTGGAACAGGCAAAGTGTATACATATATTCTTCCCATTTAATCCTCATAACACCCTAAACTGCAGGTAATACTGTTTTCTCCATCCTACAAAACTCAAACAAAGACTTAGTGATAATGTAACCTGTCCAAGTTTGCAAAGCTGTGAAGCAACAGGGTTATGACCTATACCTAAGTTTGTATGATCCACAGGCTATGATTTATAGCAGGCTGAGGCCAGACTACCAGAGACACTAAATAGCTGTAGATGAGTAAGAAATGGAGCATTTAGCTTCCAGGTAACAGAACACCACGGAAATTTCAGAATGAAAGAGGAAGATTAATTTGATGTGAACTGCAGGACAGATCACAGTGGTGACTCAAAGTAGAGTCCAGTTAAGAAATTATCCAGGCATGAATCAATTACTGGAGGTGGTGACAGGACTAGAGAGAAACCTATAGAATGGTGTCTTAAACAAAGTACTATCAGAACTGTGTGATTAATTGAATACAGAGGACCAAAAGGAAAGTAAAAGAGGATTCCACATTGTCAGTGAAAAAATGTCATCATCATTTGTTAAAACAAAAGGCAGGGTGAACAAAAAGGGGAAATAAAAGGTCTAGAGAAAAAGTGAAAAAGTAAGATATATTAAGTGAAGTAAAAGAATATCCAAGTAGGCAATAAGAGATGTAATTCAAGCAGTTTTACTGACCTTAAACTTGTTCCGATGGTTATCTGGGACAGTGTCTTTATCTGGACAGCTACAACAGCTACCCATGGCTTCTTTCAGAAGACCATGTGAGCGCTACACAAAAGACAGTTTGGAAAAAAATATTAGATGTAGGATATAAAAATCACAAAATAAAAAAAGGCTATAGAAATAATCTAACACAACCCCTACATTATTTTTATGAGGAAAATTAAACCCAAGAAAGTATATGGCTGGAGCTAGATTTCACACATCTAGCTGGTGAATTTTGCTTAGTGACAATGATAATAATTTTGTAAGTTAGATGTCACAGAAATCTCAAATTTTCAGTTTAATTTTCAAAAATCTACCTATTTTTAAATTATCTTAAAAAGCAAACCAATTTAAGGTCTCATATGTAGCACCATTTAAATAAAGTCATTAATGGAATTAACCTTTTATGGCTTAACAGAAATTTCATGTTCCTTTTTATTTTTTTTAATTAATTAATTTATTTTTGTTACAGATGTTTCTCCTTTTCCCCCCACTGATTCCCCCCACTCCCTCCCTCCCCGCCCAGTCCCAAGCTTTGTTGTCCATGTCCATTGTTCATGCATACATGCATATAAGTTCTGTTGTTTATCTCTCCCCCACCCCACCCCCTCTTCTGGGGATTGTCAGTCTGTACCCACTTCCACGTCTCTGGGACTATCCCGTTCCTCAGACTGTTATGTTCATTATATTCCACAATCATGTTCCTTTTTAATAAATTTCCAAAGGGATGCTAGATTTCTGGCTTAGCAGGTATTTTTTATTACTCATTATAGAATCCTTTATGTACTCCACCAGATAAGAGTTCATTGATAAATATGATATATAAACAAATTTGGAATTGTTCACTAAGAGAGAAAGACAACTCAAAATTCAAGCAATAACTTAAAGAGAATATTGGCAAAACTGACAGAGCGTATCTATCAAATCCTTCTTTCCCACAGGTTACAGATAAGAGGGTTTGGGTGACACTGTGTTCAAGAACACTCCACAGGAACCAAGGAGAAATTCAAAATGTCACTTCCAGACAAGGGAAAGAATGAATGTGACAATATTTGAAAAAGGGGAGGGAGGAAAAAGCACAAGAATCTACCAAACATTAAAAACATCAATCTGATGAAAAGTTGTTTAAAAGTCTTCAGTGGCTCTTTACTACATTCAGGGGAAAATTCAAAGCCTGTCAGTTTGCCATGAAGTCTTTCCCAGTCTACAGATCTAGGCTAAACTCTCCTTCTCTGCATCAGGCCTTACCCAGGCATATTAAACAGTTTCCCCAGAACACCTGTTCTCTCACATCCTTCCATGCTGCTCCCCTTCTGCTTCTTTCTTTTCTCAGGATGGAACCCAGAGTGCTGTGTGTTCAGGAAGCCTTCTCTGAATGTAGCCAACTGGGAGAATTATACTTCCTATATAACCCTTAAAGCACCCTGGGCTTCCCAGTATCACAGCATCTTTCACACTGTCTACTTAGTAGAAACTGTGGGAGACTGTCTGTTTACTTATCTGTCTTCTTTCTTCCACAAGGAGCTCCTGTCCAGCAGGAATGAACCTTATACATTTTTGCACTGCCCATGCCCAACACAACATCTAGCACATAGTAGGTGCTCTAAGTCTCTTGTAAGCTAAATGAACTGTACTAAACAAAGGTAAAGAATGTCTGAAAGGCATAAGTATTAAGAAGACAAAAAAGTGTACTAGTGTATAAACCAAAAGAAGTAATAAATAAAATAATAAAATTAAAACTAATTTTGTTATTTTGCTCTAACTAATACGCCACCTAAGTATCATAATACATTATGATAAACTTTATATTAGAATATAAAAAGAGTTCTGTGGGTACAAAAAAGGGAGCGATTAACTTTGTGGGTTAGGCAGGAAGCACCATTTGAGTTGGTACTTGAGTGCCTTGAATAGTGTGGCTCAGTGGGTTGGGTGTCATCTCATGCACCAAAAGGTTGCTGGTTCTATTCCTGATCAGGGCACATACCTAGGTTGCAGGTTTGATCCCTGGTTGGAATGCATATGGGAGGCAATCAATCAATGTTTCCCTCTCTTATCGATGTTTCCCTTTTTCTCCCTTCCTCTCTAAAATCAATTAAAATAAAAACCATGCCCTTGAGTGAGAATTTTTAAAAAGGGGAGGAGAGCCCTGGCCAGTTTGGTGCAGCGGTTGGAGCATTGGCCCGCGGACCAGAGAGTCCCGAGTTCGGTTCTCGCTGGGGGCATGTGCCTTGGTTGCAGTTTGTCCCCAACCCCGGTTGGGATTGTCTGGGTGACAGTCAATGTGTCTCTCTCGCATCGATGTTTTTCTGTCTCTCTTCCCTCTTCTCTCCCTCCCGCTCTATCTGAAGATAAATGCAAAAAAAAAAAATGTCCTAGGGTGAGGATTAAAAAAAAAAAAGGTGAGGAGAAACAGTGTGCTAGGCAAGAAATAGAAATAAGCACTTGAGACAAATAAAAGACTATGTGCAAAGACAAAGGTCCTGAAAGGTTGCACTACACTGAGGAGAAAGCGAGGCATCCAATACAACCAGAGTCGAGGGTAAACTACAACACAAGCAGGGGCCAAACCAGAAAGCATGCCGGGATCTGGGATTCCAAACAACTTGAAGCCTTTCTGCCTCCAGTGTCCCCACAATCAAATGGACATGACTCTATCATGGCGTTTATTTATTCTACTGTAATATTTATCTGTCTTACCACCCATCTCACTGTGACCTTCCTGAAAATAAGAACCTTGCCTTCCTAATTTTCTAGGGCACTAAGCGTACTGCCTGACATAGCATATGCCCCATAATATTTAATTTTTTAAATTAAATTTTTAATAAATTATAGGATGAGAAGTAAAAAAAAGTACTTTAAAAACTTTTTAAAGAAGGATAATTGATAGAAACAAATAAACAAAAAAAGGCTTCTTGAAATTACATGTCCCTCCTCACCGCTGACCTCCTTGTGAATATAAAGAGCTAAAAGATTACTACGATGTAGCTTTGGCCCCAAAAGATGGTGCCTCAAAGGAATGTTTTAAACTATTTCTCAAAAGCAGTAGAAAAATCATTCTTTCACTTGTCCCCTTTACAGGCTACCTAAGGCAGCACCTCCCTGGTGGCTGGGATAGATGGGAGGTGGTGCAACCTACTTGGGGACTTTACGGACCCTGAATGCTTCAATACAACAATTTATAAGAAGCCTAATATGCAACACAAAAAGCCTTGTGTGCCACACCAAGGAGAATGGATTTTATCCTACCCATGATGAAAAGCCAGTGTGGAATTTTAAGCAGGAAAGTGGTGGTCAGGACTTCATTATAAATACATCTATCTGCAGGATGAATTTAAGTAAAAAGTTTAGCTCAGAAGAAGGGAAACCAGTTAGAGACTATTGAAAAGGAAATATGCTAGAGACCTAAAACCAGAGTAGCAACAATGGGGATAAGGGTGAAAAAAATATTTACAAAGACAAGCTGGCGGCACTGAGTGGCTGTCTAGGTATAAGGAAAGGCAGAGACCGTTTCCCGTGTGGCAGGGTGCTGGCTCCATCACCTGAGATAGGAAAAAGCAGTGTCTTTAAGTGGAAGTGATGATGATTAATTCAGTTTAAGACATGCTAAACTGAGATTCTAGAGAACAATAAAATGGAGATATGCAATAGGGACATAGTGCATGACTATGGGTTTGAAAGAGGTCAAATATTGGAACACATGTGGTATTTAAAGCCATAAAACATAAAACAGAAGGCACTGCTCAAAGACTGTATAAAAAGTGGTCTGTGGTTGAAATTCTGAGGAATACAAATGTATACGTACTGGAGTAGAGAGAAACAAGTGAAGAAGAAAATAAAAATCAGAATAGTACAAACTACGAAAAGAAAGTGTCAAGAAGGAGAGTTCCATCCTTAGAGTGGTAGAGGCAGAAGCCAAACTGCCGCGAGCAAATGAAAGATAAGGAAGAAGCCTCTGGAGAATGAAAACTGCTCTTCAAGAACAAGTTGAGGAAGTAAAGAGTACAGCACTAGGGTATGGACAGACATAGTTTCAAAGAAAATATGATACTTGAGTTATTTGCTGTTTTAAAATGACAGATTTATGCAGGTTTGCAATCAGCAGGTCAGGAAAGGTACTAAAATATAGGGAGGGGAAAAGGAAAGAGAAGGGAAACAAAGGATGGGTCGACGCTGAGGGGAAGACTAAAGAAGATGAGTTCTGGGGCCCAGACTGCCCAGAGGAGGAGGAAGGAGGAAAGAAAATAAGGATGTGTAGAGCACAGTAGAGAAGATGAAGGAGATGAACAACTATCAACCTATTTCCTTTGTAAAACAGAAGGCAAGTTTACGGAATGAGAATAAAGAAGGTTGCAGGCTACACTGAGAGATCAGAGAGACTGCAAAGTAAGATTATGCTCTTTTCTAGCTTTGTTCAGCAGTACAGAGAGTAGAAAGTTCAAATGACCCAGGATCAGCAAGAGGACAAGAAAATTAAAGAATATTGGCAATATGGTGGGGGAGGGAGGAGTTTTTGAAGTGATGGATCATCAGGCTAGTCAGGATAGATGTAAAGAAGAGGGCTGATAAAATGGGAGAAAATGCAGGCAAAAATAAACAGGAGGCTTTAGTAAGGTTGAAGAACAGGCTTAGTACTGAATGAGAGACTGAAACAGCTGGAACAACAGGCAGCTGCATTCCATTTCCAATATAAAAAGAAACCTTTTTGTAATGTGGAGTTTTCATCCACATCCCTCACTTCTCTTCCTAACCACAAACTCCTGGGCAAGGAGAAAAACAAGATACTAGGTATTCTGCATTTATGACCACCAGACTAATACCTGGAGACTACATCTGAGCTATGCAAAGACCTAATAATGTACACTAATATTGTAAACACTTGATGAGAAACCATATGATCTCATCATCTCACAACGCCAAGCTCATAACTCAGTAAAAACACAAACAGACTTACTATGCTCCCTTAGAGAAAACAACTTAGGAAAGTTAAGTAGAGTTCAAGAACATTCAAGAACAAAAGATAGCTACTGTTTCGGAGGATCAACATTCAAAAAGTTCACTGAATATTTTATATTAGTAAACACTGTCTTAATTTAAGTAAAGCCATCTGTCCTTATTCCTGGGGGTGGGAGCTGACAACAAATCAGCAGATAAACTGACCGTATTCAAGAAAATATTATTGGGGGGAAAAGGAGAAATATTTGTAACAAAAATAAATTAATAAAATTTTTTTAAAAAGAAAGCATTATTAAGGGACAGATCGGCAATAATACAGTCATAGCAGGAATTTTTTTTTTTTTTATCTTCACCCGAGGACATTTCTCCATTTTTTTGTTCAGATAGAGTGGGAAGGAGAGAGAGTAAGAGAGAGAGAGAAACATCGAAGTGAATGGGACACATCGAGTGGTTGCCACCCGCACGACCCAACCAGGGCTGGGGACAAACTGCAGCCGAGGTACATGCCCCCAGTGGGAACCGAACCCGGGTCTCTCGAGACCGCAGGCCAACGCTCTAATCGCCAAGCAAAACCGGCTAGGGCAATAGCAGGAAATTTTAAGACCCCATTACATCAATAGATCTTCCAGACAAAAAGTCAACAAGAAAACAACAGCTTTATTATTTTTTTTAAGATTTTTTATTTATTGATTTTAGAGAGAGAGGAAGGAAGAGGGAGAGAGAGAGAGAAACATCGATAAGGGAGAACATCGATCAGCCGCCTCCTGCATGCCCCCCACTGGGGATCAGGCCCACAACTTGGGCACATGCCCTGACCGGAAATCGAACCAGCGACCTCTTGGTGCATGGGTAGATGCTCAACCACTGAGCCACACCAGCTGGGCGAAAACAACAACTTTAAATGACACGTGGGATCAGATGGATTTAACTGCTATTTTCAGAGTATTTCACCCCAAAGTAGCAAGTTGTATACATTCTGTTCAAGTGTACATGGAATACTTTCTAGGATAGACCATATGCTAGCACACAAAACAAGTCACAATCAATTGAAGAAGACTAAAATCATTATCAAACATCTTCTCTGTCCACAATGGTATACACTAGAACTCTACAAGAAAAAATATGATAAACACACAAACACATGTAGGCTAAACAACACATAACTAAACAATGAATGGGTTAACAATGAGATTAAAGAAGAACTCAAAAGTTACTTTGAAATAAATGAAAGTGACACACAACAACCCAAAATCTATGGGACACAGTGAGAGCAGTCCTAAGACAGAAATTCATAAGAATCCAGGCCTACCTCAAGAAGAAAGAAATATCTTAACAATCTAATCTTATACCTAAAAGAACTGGAAAAAAGAACAACAAACAAAGCCCAAAGTGAGTAGAAGAAAGGAAGTAATAAAGATCAGAATGAAAATAAACAAAATAGAATGAAAAGACAAAACAAAAGATCAATGAAACCAAGAGCTGGTTCTTTGAAAGGATAAACAAGACTGATAAACCTTTGGACAGATTCATCAAGAAAAAAAAAAGGACCCAAATAAATAAAATCAGAAACAAAACAGAATAACAACTGAAACCACATAAAAACAAAGGATTGTAAGAAAATATTACAAAAATTTGGACAATCTGGAACAATGGATTAATTCCTAGAAACATACACTCTTACAAAATTGAATCAAGTAAAATCAGAATATGAGAACACAGCAATTACAACTAATGATATCAAAGCAGTAATTACAAAAAAAAAAAAAACTTCCAGTAAACAAAAGTCCTGGCCCTGATGGCTTCACAGGGGAATTTTACCAAACACTAAAAAAAGAACTAACACCTATCCATCTCAAACTATTCCAAAAAGTTCAAGAGGAGGGAAAACTCCCAAGCTCATTTTATGATACCAGCATTACCCTAATTCCAAAACCAGAAAGACACTACAAAGAAAGAAAATATAGGCCAATATCCCTGGTGAACAGAGGTTTAAATTAAATATCCTCAACAAAATATTAGCAAACTAAATCCAGCAATACACTAGAAAGATCACAAGCATGATTAAGTGGGATTTCTTCCTGGATGCAAGGTTGGTACAATATCCACAAATCAATTAATGTGATACACCACATAAACCAAATGAAGGATAAAAATCACATGATCATATCAAGAGATACAGGAAAAGCATTTGACAAAATCTAGCACCCATTTATGATAAAAACTCTCAGCAAAGTGGGAAGAGGGAACATACCTCAACATAATAAAAACATATACGACAAACCCGCAGCTGGTACCATACATACTCAGCAATGAAAAACTAAAAGCATTTCCCTTATGGTCAGAAATAAGACAGGTATGTCTGCTTTCACCACTCTTATTCAACAGAGTACTAGAAGTCCTAGCCACAGCAATCAGACAAAAAGAAGAAATAAAAGGCATCCAAATTGGAAAGAAAAAGGTAAAACTGTCATTATTTATAGATGACATGATATTACATGGAGAGAACCCTAAAGACTCTACCAAAAAACTACCAGAACTGATAAATGAATCCAGTAAAGTAGCAGGATACAAAATTAATATTCATAAATTGGTTGCATTTTTATACACCAATAGTTAACTATTAGAAAAGGAACCTAATCCCATTTACAATGCATCAAAAACAAATAAAATACCTAGGAATAAATTTAACCAAGAAGGTAAAAGATCTGTACTCAAAGAATGGTAAGACACTGAAGAAAAAGATGGAAGATATAAATAAATAGAAGCAAATACCATGTTCACAGATAGGAAGAATTAATGTCATTAAAATGTCCATACCACCCAGAACAATCTACAGATCAAACACAATTCCTATCAAAATACCAATGGCATTTTTTACAGAACTAGAACAAATAATCTGAAATATTATATGAAACCATAAACAAAACAAAAGTGCCTCAGGAGTATTGAGGAAGAAGAACAAAGTTGGAGATATCACACTACCTGATATTGAACTATACTACAAGGCCACAGTAATCAAAATAGCATGGTACTGGCATAAAAACAGAAATGTAGATCATGGAACACAAGAGTGAACCCAGAAATAAACCCACAACTATACTGTCAATTTGACAAAAGGAGGCAAGAACACACAATGGGATAAAAACAATCTATTCAATAAATAGTGCTGGAAAAATTGAACAGATACATGAAAAAAAAGAGAAAGAAACTAAACCACCTTACACCATATACAAAAATAAACTCAAAATGGATTTAAAGACTTAAATGTAAGACTCAAAACCATAAAAATCCTAGGAGAAAACATAGTCAGTAAAATCTTGAACATTTCTCTTAGCAATATTTTTTCTAATATATCTCCTTGGGTGAAAGAAACAAAAGAAAAAAATAAATAGGGCTACACCAAACTAAAAAGTTTTGCATAGCAAAAGAAACGATTAATAAAACAAAAAGACAACCTACTAAATTGGAGAATATGATACATCTGATAAGGGAGTAATATCTATAATTTATGAAGAACTCATACTATTCAACACCAAAAAACACACAAACAATCCAAAAAAAATGGTCAGAGGACCTGAATAAACACATCCCCAAAGAAGACAAATATATCGCCAGTAGACATATGAAAAGATGCCCAACATCATTTGTCAGAGAAATGCATATTAAAAACACAATGAGATATCACCTCATACCTATCAGAATGGCCACCATCAATTAATGCACAAATGACAAGTGCCGGTTAGGATATGGAGAAAAGGGAACCCTTGTGCCCTGTGGGAGGGAATGCAGATTACTGAAGCCACCATGGATAACAGTATGGGATTTTCTCAAACAAAATTGGAACTGCCTTATGACCGACCCTGTGATTCCACCTCTGGAGATTTATCCCAAATCACTAATTTGAAAGAATATATGCATCCCTATGCTCATTGCAGCGTTATTTATGATAACCAAGATATGGAAGCAACCCAAGTGCCCATCAACAGACGAGTGAATAAAAAAGCTGTGGTATTATATAGAATGGAATATTACTCAGCCATAAAAAGAATAAACTCTTACCATTTGCAACAGCATGGGTGGACCTAGAGGGTATTATGCTCAATGAAATAAGTCAGTCAGAGAAAGACAAATATCATATGATTTCACTTACATGTGAAATCTAAAGAAAATAAACAAACAAACAAAATTGAAATAGACACCTAGACACAGAGAGTGGACTGGTGGTTGCCAGAGCTTGGAAGGGGATTTGGGGGAACTGGGAAAAAGAGGTGAAAGGGATGAAGAAGTACAAACTGGTAGTTACAAAATAGTCACAGGGATGTAAATTACAGCATAGGGAATATAGCCTATTATATTATAAAAATTATTTATGGTGCCAGTTGGATACTGGAAACATCTGGAGGAACACTGTAGTATATGATTGTCTAACAACTATGTTGTATACCTCAGACCAATAAAAAATAATGAAAGTAAACTGTAATTGAAAAATTAAAATTAAAAAAAGAAAACGTTATCAAAATCTCGTTTAAAAAATATACTTTGTGGACCTAATGATTCTGGTTTGTTTGTTTTTTTCCTCACCCGAGGACATTTTTCTATTTTTTGTTCAGATAGAGTGGGAGGGAGAAAGCGGAAGAGAGAAAGAGAGAAACATCGACGTGACAGGGACACATCAAGTGGCTGCCATCCTCACGACCAACCAAGGCCGGGGACAAACTGCAACCAAAGTACGTGCCCTTAGCGGGAACCGAACCCGGGTCTCTCCGGACCGCAGGCTGAGGCTCTGACGGCTAAGCCAAACCAGCCAGGGCCTAATGATTCTTTTTTAAGGTAAACTTTAACTTACCTAGATCTGGCCATTAATATTCTTAGCCTCTGCTGCAGCATCAGGAGTTTAATCATACTTCAACATACCATGTTTTCTTTGTTTGATGACTTAACCTAAAAAAGGATGAGAATTTTTAATTTCTTTTAAAATAATAATTTTCCTTATGAGACTTCTGGCAGTACTATAAGTTCAAATTATCTACTTAAGTTCAAATGTCTAAAATTTGCTTAAAATTATTTAATATATAAGATATATTTTTTAGCCCTGGCTGGTTTGGCTCAGCGGTTAGAGCATCAGCCTGCGGTCCTGAGAGACCCAGGTTCAGTTCCCGCTAAGGGCATGTACCTCGGTTGCAGTTTGTCCCCGGCCCTGGTTGGTCGTGTGGGTGGCAGCCACTCGATGTGTCCCTTTCACATCGATGTTTCTCTCTCTACTCCTCTCTCTCCCTCCCACTCCACCTGAACAAAAAAATGGAAAAATGTCCTCGGGCGAGGATAAAAAAAAAAGAAAAGGTAAAACTGCAATAGTCTGAGTTCTGTGGTGTTTGGAAATATCAGGACTTTCAGAAGCCATTGATTCTGGCTTCTCCACTATAGCTATGACTTCGGATAACCCACTTTTCTTTTTCTTTCTTTTATTTTATTTTTTTTAATCTTCACCCAAGGATATTTTTCCATTTATCTTCAGATAGAGTGTGAGAGAGAGAAAAAAAAAAACATCGATGGGAGAGAGACACATAATGATTGGTTGCCTTCCACACAACCCTAACCAGGGCTGGGGATTGAACCCCAACCGAGGTCCAAGCCCTTGACTGGAATCAAACCCTTAACTCTTTGGTCTGCGGGCTGATCCTCTAACTGCTGAGACATACCAGCCAGGGTGGATAACCCACTATTCTATACTTATCTCTTCAACCATAAAAGAGAAGTTAGGCTAAATCACCTCCAATATTCCTTTCCAGCTCTAAAACCCTGTTTTAGTCAGTGGCAGGCGAATTCTCCACCTTTAATCACTTTTCTTAAACCTCACCATTACCCTTCCAAAGAGCTGACTCTCTTTAAACTTTCCTGGTCAATTATAGCACAGAAAAAAATTAAACTCACTCAAACACAGGCACTGACATTTACTGCTACACTATAGCAGGCATTATGTTAGAGGTTCATGAATAGTCTAATTTTAATCTATTAACTAGAGTTAACAAACATGACTGATATCCAAAATGAACATTTCCAAAACCATAAACACTTAATCAAAAATTTCAATTCTGGATTTCTAACTTACATATAAAATAGCATTTCAGCTTATGCCTGCACCCCTCATAAGGTGTTGCTACCCACAACATTAGGGTGGGCAGCAACACAGTGCCTATTCCTTAGCACACCCTTCTTTTCTCCAGAGACTCAACACACATAATGCTTTGTCTCTGGCTTGCAAAATTTTCCAGCTAATTTTATCATAATCCATTGCTTTTTATATGAATACATATTCTGTTTGTCCATCTCCCTCTTTTAAGAAAATTTAGCCAATCAACTCAGGAAAATCTCTCTTCCTTTCTTTATTCATTCCACTTACAAGCATCCCACAAACCCCATTATGAAATGAATTTAATCATAGCAAATACAATTAAAAGTATGACAATGACAGCGATCCATCTATAACCCTGTATCAAGGGAAAGTCCTAAGTCTTGAAATGACACATATTAAAGAATCAGTGCACCAACCTATACAGCTCTGGAAAACATAAAAAAGTTTCCTTTCGGATCTCTGGAAACTTTTAAAAAAAATAATTTTATTAATTTTTTTGAGAGAAAAAGAAGGGAGAGATAGAAACATAGATGTGAGCCCTGGCCGGTTTGGCTCAGCGGTTAGAGCATCGGCCAGCGGACCAGAGAGACCCAGGTTTGGTTTCCACCGAGGGCAGGTACCTTGGTTGCAGTTCGTCCCTTGGGGTCGTCTGGGTGGCAACCAGTTGATGTGTCTCTCTCACGTCGAGGTTTCTCTCTCTCTCTCTTCCTCCCTCTCTCCCTCCTGCTCTATCTGAAGATAAATGCGAAAATGTCCTTGAGTGAGGATAAAAAAAGAATGAAAGAAAGAAACATAGATGTGAGACAGATACATTGATCAGCTGCCCCCTGCACACCCCCTACTGGGAATCCAGCCACAACCCAGGCATATGACCTGACTGGGAATTGACCCAAGACCTTTCAGTCCATGGGAAGACACTCAATCCACATAGCCACACAAACCGGGCTCTCTGGAAACTTTTTATTCTGTCCTACTTTCAGAACTCTTTTTTTTTTCTTTTTCCAAATATTTTATTGCAGTAAAATACACATAACATAAAATTTGCCGTTTTTCCCACTTTTAAGTATACATTTCAGTACTGTTAAATACATTCAAAATTGTTGTGCAAACCAATATCCAGAACTACTTCATCTTGAAAAATTGAACTTTACCCCCTTAAGCAACACACTTCCCCTCTCCCCAAATCCTGGCAACCACCATTCTTTTCTGTTTGTACTGTAAGTCTAAGTACTCTAGATACCTCATATAAATGAGACCATACAATATTGATCTTTTTGTGTCTGCCTTATTTAACTCAGCTTAATGTCCTTAAAGTTCATCTACGTTGTAACATGTGTCAAAGTTTCTGTCCTTTTTCTTTTTTAATCCTCACCGGAGCATATTTTTCTATTTATCTTCAGATAGAGTAGGAGAGAGAAGGAGCAACATCAACATGAGAGGGACTTATCAACTGGCTGCCTCCCGCACAACCCCGATCAGGGCCGGGGATGAACTGCAACCAAGGTACGTGCCCTTGGCTGGAATCGAACCCGAGATTCATTGGTCTGCGAGCCAACACTCTAACCGTTGAGCCAAACTAGCCAGGGCTTCTTTTTCTTTTTTAATTTTTATTTATTGATTTTTAGAGCGAGAGGAAGGAGGAAAGAGAGAGAGAGAGACAGACAATGTCTTATTGTTCTACTTATTTATGCATTCATTGATTGATTCTCATATGTGCCTGTACCAGAAATCGAACCCGCAACCTTGGTGGATCAGGTCAACGTTCCAACCACCTCAGCAACTTGACCAGGGCTGTTGACAGTGTCTTTTGATGTGATGTACAAATATTTTTATTTTTCAGGAAGTCCAATTTGTCTACTTTTGCTTTTGTTGCCTGTTCTTTTAGTGTCATATCCAAGAAAGCACTGCCAAATACAATGTTAAGCTTTTGTCCTATGTTTTCTTCTACAAATTTTATTGTTTTATGTCTTATATTTAGCTCTACCCTTTGAGTTAATTTTCAGATACGATATTAGGAAAGGTCAAAGTTCATTCTTTTGCATGTAGATAACCAGTTTTCTCAGCACCATTTGTTGAAACAACTGCCCTTTTCCCCCAATGAATTGTCTTGGCATCCTTGTCAAAACTTATTTGAGCTTAAGGGTTTTGGTTGAAGACTTTTGAGTCAATGTTCATAGGGAATGCTGGTCTGTTATTTTTCTAGTAGTGTCTTTGTCTAGCTTTGGTATCAGGGTAATGCTGGCTTCATAGAATGAATTAGAAAAGTATTCCCTCATCTCCAATTTTTTGGAAAAGTTTAGGAACTGAATTAGTTCTTCTTTAAATGTTTGGCAGAATTCACCAGAGAAGCCTGGCCTTTTCAAGTCAGAGGAGATTTTTGATTACTGATTCAATCTCTTTACTAGCTATAGCTCTATTCAGATTTTCTATTTCTTTGTGATTGAGTCTTGGTAGGTTTTGTGTTTCTAGGAATTTGTCCATTTCATCTAGGTTATTTAATTTGCTAGTGTACAATTGTTCACATTTACTGTTATAATCCTATTTACTTTGGCACAATCAGTAGTGATATCCCCACTTCCATTTCTGATTTAAGTAATTTGAGTCTTCCCTCTTTTTTTATTTTTTATTTTTTCATAATTCATCAAGCCAAAATTTGTCAATTTTGTTGAATTTTTCAAAGAACCAACTTTTGGCTAAATTGATTTTCTCTTATCTTTCTATTCTTTATGTAATTTATCTCTGCTCTAAACTTTATAATTTCTTTCCTTCTGCTAGCTTTCGTTTTAGTTTGTTCTTTTTCTAGTTTCTTAAGTTACAGTGAGGATGTTGGTTTCAGATCTTTCTTGTTGTTGTTTTTTAAATGTTTTTATTGATTTGAGACAGAGAGGAAGAGAGAGAGAGAGAATCATCTATGTGAGAGAGAGAAACATCCATTGGCTGCCTCCTGCACACCCCCTACTGGGGATCGAGCCCGAAACCCAGGCATGTGCTCTGACCAGGAATGAACAGGCAACCTCTTGGTGCATGGGACGACGCTCATCCAACTGAGCCACACCAACCAGGGCAGGTCTTTCTTGTTTGTAATGTAAGCATTTATAGCTATAAATTTCCCCCTTAGCAATGTTCTCTCTATGTCCCCTAAGTTTTGGTATGTTGTGGTTTCATTTTCATTTATCTCTAAGTATTATCTAAATTACCTTGTGTTTCATCTTTGATCCACTGGTTGTTTAAAAGTGTGTTGTTTAGCCCTGGCCAGTTTGGCTCAGCACTTAAAAGCATCAGCCTGCGGACCAGAGAGTCCCAGGTTCAGTTCCCGTTAGGGGCACGTACCTTGGTTGCAGTTTGTCCCCAGCCCCAGTTGGGGTTGTGTGGGTGGCGCAACCTTCGATGTGTCTCTCTCTCTCTCTCCCCCTCCCACTCTATCTGAAGATAAATGCAAAAATGTCCTCGGGTGAGGATAAAAATAAGATAAAATAAAAGTGTTGTTTAATATCCACAATTTTATTAATTTTCCAATTTTTCGTCTGTTGTTGATTTCTAACTTTATCCTCTTATAATTAGAGAAGATACTTTGCATGATATCTATCTTTTAAAATCTATAGACATTGTGGCCTAACATATAGTCTAGCCTGGTAAATGCCCCATGTGCACTTGAGAAAAATGTTTATGTTACTGTTGGGTAGAGTGTCCTGTCTGGTTAGTCTATCCATTATTGCAAGTAGGGTATTAAAGTCTCCAACTATTTCTGTAGAATTGATTATTACTTCCTTTAATTCTGCTTGTTTTTGCTTTGGATATTTTGATCCGT